CCATCACCTTCCTTACCATCACGTTCACTACCTTCAACTGAACACCTTAGGGACAAGTTGTGGTGCTCTATCGCAAATATTAGTGATATTGGTATACTGCTGAGTGCGTACATACACTCTCTGACAGATCACGAATCAATTCATATTTTAATTGGGGGACAAATGCCTCACGAATTAAATGTATTAGACATGAATTAATTTAGATTGAAATCAGTAGCAGCTGTCGAAAAGATGCACAAATTATACTACCGGTACTCAGTGTAGATATAATCTCACATCCTGATAAAGATTAATATAAATCTAATAAAAAAACCCGAAAAAATATGAATGTCTAATATGCTATGTATGTATTACCTCATCATATATATGTAAATCTGACAGATCACTTACACATCTATTATGAAACCATCTGTCACAGCCAGCATCACAAGAAACCATATCATCAAATACATTTGAGATGTGACACCCATCTGCTTCGCAATCAATAAAAATATCAAATGATAAAGAAGTTTTCTTATGCCTATGCCTACTCATTTTTTTCCTAGGAAACTTAGTAAAGATTCCATTGGAAATACATTCTACAAGATGTTGTCTCATGCAAGTGGTGTCAAACTCTAACTCTTCACTCCCGTTAAACCCATTGAAACAAAATTCTACCAAGTTAGCAATAGCAAAAACCCCACAGTCAACCCCGTTTTTCTGTTATTGCACATTTGGTAATACTGTTTTTTAAAACTTTTCTATTTTCCCCATACGATGATGGTGGTGGAGGTTTTTACATATTATGCATATCTAGCACGAGTCTTGACGAAGTTATGTCCCCTTAGTACGGGTACGGGAGGAAACAAAACACCCGCGATCACAACAAAGTCAGAATTTCATGTGAAATATGTTGTTTATTTCAACGAAACTTACATAATTATCAACAGTAAGGTATTTTCTTCTATATATCTGAAAAGAACATGTTATTTTTCCCTAAATTTCTAGTTATATGTGAAAAACCGTGATTTTCACGGTTGACTGCGGCGTACAAGTTTTACCCCTTGAAAAACACATTATCGTTGATTTCTAAATTATTAGATAATAAAATAAACATTTTTGTAATTGTCACATTTAGAAAATAATGTTTGAAATTATCCTATATTTTTATAAAAATTATAAACCATCGCGTTAATGATATATTAAAATATCTTTATATTTCCGGTACGGGTTTCAGTCCGGGAATGGGAACGGGGTACAAGATTTACCTACCACCCATATTCTGTATCTAAGAATACGTACGATGTTTTCGTACTGTTTTATAGAGTAAAGATGGAAAATTCTTAAGAATCATCAAATATGATGCACGTATAAGCAACACACAGAACACAAACATTTTCACAATATGTTTATTGAGTTTTATTTTTACTTACACCGTACATGTACAGCAGGTCCAGTACATACTCCAACAGTGTTACTGTTAGAGGTTTTACACGGCGCGATAATTTTGACACGCGTCGCAGTCGTCAAAATTATATCTGATAGAAAAAAGGCCGACCAGCGGTTATGTTATAGGAGTAGTCCAGTACACTGCCGATTGAGCTAAAGATTTGTTATAAACAAGTTGGGCACAACGGCGCATATGGGTAATAATCCTGCATTTGGGTAACATCTTTGTATGTTATGGTTGAATGTACTTCGAATCTACTTTCACTATCCTATATGAAAAATCAAAATTTTGTACTTCACTTACGTATTGAAAATCGCCATATCTATTGGTTATTACAAACAACTTTTGGTTGAACAGTTTTCGGTTTTGAAAGTATTTCACGACCTTTGAAGCATCTAAAATCACGAAAATGTCAAAACACGAAAACGCATTCAACCAAAAGTTGTTTATAATAAATTAGAGCTGTATTGAGCTGTAATGTTGACTTTCACAAATGTGAAATTCCGATTTTTTTTACATCATAATATTTTAAAAAGAATACTTATATTTAATGTCTTTTGTCAGTTATCAACCTATTGATAAAATCTTCTTTTATCAGCGACTTTATTTCGTTTTCCTTAAAAAAGAAAATCACATGAAAAAAGCTGAAAATACCTATTTCTAATAGGTCAATACAGCTAGTATAGGTCTTTATAGCTATATAGCTCAATCGGCAGAGTGTACTGGACCTGAGCAGGTCCGTGTGTTTGTTAACAAAAATGGCAAACTTGATCAAAATTAACCCCTAAAACGAGAGAAATTATTCTGAAAACCTTAGCTGAGATCTAATTTAGTTGTAACTCTTTATCATGTCCCTGTGGTTACAGTCGATTCATTTATAAAACATTTAGCCTCAAAACTAGTCCAATTTTCTTCTGGCCCTGACACCAGACTTGAACATGTTGACAGATAGCTATAGATGTCTGGTTTTCACATCACCTCAGTTTACAGTTCATTTTGCCAAAGTTCACACCTGTACCTCAGATTTCCATATGTTCTCCATAAAAAAAATACGGAAAATGCGGATGGGAATATTTGGGCACTAATTTCCGCATTTATTCTGTATTTTGAAGAAAAAAGGGAAAAAATGGGGAGTATATATGGAAAAAGTATGAACAAAATACGGAGAAACGAAATAAGAAGAAATATGGAGAAAATGCGGAGAAACGAAATACGGAAAAATACGGCAAATAATTGCTGACACTAGATAATGCAGATAAAGAAGGAATTATGGGTAAACAAGAATTCAAAAATACATGTACACCAAAAATCATGAACTGTTTACATTCAGTATTTGAATCATTGGATGAGATTTACAGCTATATCTACAAATTATTCCTAATTAAAGTTATTATGGTTAAACCATAACAAAATGTCAACTATTTCAACTACTTAATGCCCAAGTCTCAGCCACCATAATTTGACAATTGTTCAAAATTTCACTTTTCAATTATTTACTATAATATCAAGGTTAACAACTTTATTATTTGTGAACATTTTTAATGTTTTGTTAACAATATTGCTAATCAGTTAGACATTTCCATGTATTTTTCCAGCAATATATATAGGTGTTCTGATTGTCCCTGAGACAGATACTTAAAATAAAAACAAAACTTACCCTGGTTAAATTCAAGACCTAGCTAACTTTGAAAACAATTCAAACCTTAAAATCAGATCATTGTTGGAATAAAATGCATCTCATGACTTTAACATTCAAAGCAAGAACCTATCAATCATAAATACGTCCTGTGAATATATGCTGGTATTTGCTTCTCAAATACGATTGCTCCTTCATGTATCCTTTCACACAAACCATAACTGACCTGAATGCTTTCAGAATTTGAATGTGAAAATTGGCCAATCATAGACCAGGATTATAGATGGCCCCAAGTGGCTGTGTTTATTAATCATCAAGTTTTCCATATTTTTCTGTAATTTTCCGAAATTTTACCTTAATGTAGTAACTCAGTGATTTTTTTACTCATTTTCCTAAAGGCCCAGTGCCTTTTTTTATTGGGAATTTTACTGCGCGGACACAATGAATTGGGAATTTTCAACATGTTACGGAGGTATGATATTAGTTTTTTTTTTTTTTTATCGCGCTCAAACAACCTCATGTGTAAATAAAACTTGAAACTTCAATTCAATGCCCAAGATAAACTTCTATTTGTCAAAATTTTCAACAACGTAGTACAACAGTTAAGGCATACTTTATTTTGTTACAAGCGATTGGGAAAATATTGGGTCAGTATTGGGAAAACTTCACTTGGGGAAAGTACCTAAAGCTAGTTTGTTTAGTGAGGTTCCATTCTTGACAGACCATAGTGTTTGAATAATAATTAAATTCATGAACAATACCAGTAACTTTATTAGACTTGCACTGCATTGGAAAAAATTCTTTATTCATAAATGTTTGTGTATACATATAAAAAAGTGTATTTTTGGCAAACTATTCTCTGTATACATAAAATATAGCAAGTTATCGGAATTAGTACGATATAAATGTAAACTGACGGAATAAAATGTACAATTTCTAAATGATTGCCTACTGTATCTTAGACGTATATGCTTTTGATATATGTATTTGCTCATTATGCCTTTTTTTTTTTTTATCTAATTATAATGAAATCAATTATTAATGCTAATTTCATCCATACAGGTCTTCTAAGAAAGTCAACTATGCTTCATTTGGTGCAGGAAATGATGACGATGACTTTGATGGTAAGTAACAACTAGTTACAGTGGATGATACGTTTGTTAGGGATTTAGTGTTCTCACAACAGTGAATTATAATTTTGTCACATGAAGATGGGAGTCTGATATTAGGGAGACACTGAGTAGAGAAGTGAGGAAAGAAAAGATCCAAAGTGTCTTAAGTGTTGCAACGGGGCAGCAGATCAATTGATCACTTCAATGTCCCCTAATTGAAGCAAAAGACACAAAACAACACACCTGACTTTGTAGTGGACCCCAGGGACCCTCGTTAGTCAGTTCCTATATTATGATAGCATGCAGTGGAATACAGTATCCTTTCCCCACACCTGCAGGGCTATGAATGATGATTATTGTTAACATATACATGAACACATATAATTTCTAGTAATAAGACTGCATGATCTTAATTGAATTATTAATTATTATACCCCAGCTTCGACGAAGTCGGGGGTATATAGTGTTTGCTTCATCCGTCTGTGTGTCCGTCCGTCCGAAAGGTTTCCGGAGCATATCTCCCGTACTATTTCACCTACGGTTATGAATCTTAGTTTGTGGGTACATGTATGGAAGGCGATGTGTCTCATACCATATGTAGGTCACTGTGACCTTTACCGTGACCTCTGACCTACATAATGTCGTCAGAAAGGTTTCCGGAGCATATCTCCCGTACTATTTCACCTACGGTTATATTATGAATCTTGGTTTGTGGGTACATGTATATATGCATGGAAGGCGGTGTGTCGCGTACCATATGTAGGTCACTGTGACCTCTGACCTATGTAACGTGAGACTTGCAGCATATAAACTCTTCACTTGATTCTTCCAATCCACATGCCCATCACTCCCACCAATTCCTGATCAATCAGGATCAAAGATCAATTCTATGCTTAAAATTCACTCTTTTAGTTTTATAATTCTGGTGTTGTGTTAGATATATAAATTTAAATGCAGAAACACAATAATATACATTTGTATATATGTATTTTATGTAGTGTTTGTACATGTATATGTTACGTTAGACACACCATATTACTAGCCTGATAACATGGCCATCACATGGACAAAAACACTTATAACTGATATCTAGTTTTTATATTCATTAATATGTATGCATCTACAAAAAAAAAAAAATCATCTATTCAACGTATTTTAATCTATACAGTAACTGGTCATAAATAATCTTGAAAAAGAAATTGTCAATAAAATTGTTAGTGCCTGAGTACATGGGTGAGTCACATGTTGGTAAGTTTGTCAGTATATTGCAAACATTTTAAAATTTGATATTATAATTTAGAGCAAAGCAGGAAGTTTTATTTTTGTAATACAATAGCCTGAAAAGATGACACAGATGTGAACATTGAATTTTCTTTTCCTTCCTGTGTTTAAAAAATCCGTAAAATATATTTGGTTTAGTTTTGAGAGTTTCTATAAGACACAGGTTCACACTGTTTGACAGGATGTTGGTATAATCTTGGTTCTGATTGGACAGGTTTCAATCATCCATGGATTAATTTTTGCTTCTCTATGATCATGACTATGTAGTATTTTAGGGCTATATAACTAAGTATTGGACCTGTATCTGTTCTAATTTACCAGTTCAAATGAACATACATGTAAATTAATGTAATAACATAAATGTAAAAGAAAACAGCACCATTAAACTATAAGTGTACCGCAAACAGACACACACTGATCAATATTTGGCTTTCAATTCCCACCATCGCCAGAGGCTCGCAACATAAAAAATCCAAAACTTGTATCATAAATCTAATATGAAGAGAAAGTTACGACAGATCCTCTATATATCAATTACTCATAAGTGATCTGGATATATATAGTCTCATCAGCTTAACGGGGCATTATTGTAATATTGCCAGTGTTTTAAATTTAAAATTTTTGAAAACAGAAATATAAATTACATGTATTTGATTGTCCAAAGACCAAAGCCACAAGAAGTAAATGTCAATTTTTTCAGATTTTTACCTCAAAATCCATGTTTTGAATTTTTGCAATGTTTACTCTTAAGAGCTAAATTTAGGTAGTCTTAGTTAGAACAACTTGATGTGGAGGATTCGATATTATGTAATAAACATAAATATTTATTAGAAAAACTTATTCAGAATGCTGGTGTCTAATTTCCCCAGTTTATTTATAGTTTTATGTACACCGTATGCATGATTGATGGCTATATATATTTGTATTTGTTTCATCAGAAGACTTCAAGGACATCACGCCACCACCAGCCAAGAAGGCAAAAACATTGAAGACGTCCAACAAAGAAAATACCTTAAAGAAACAGGCCATAAAGAACAATGAGAAAGGGAACAGTAAGAAAAGGTTGGTGGAAGCTGGTTTTAAGGACCTAATGAATGCATACAGACCCATGATAAATATACAATGTCAATATATATTTGCCTCACCTTATCAATACTGTTAAACTATCCAAAATGAATTATATCCGTTTGGACACCATTTTCAAATATGATTTAATTCAATATATATATAATTATATATAAAATGTTAGTTGATCATTTAGACATATAGGTAACTTACTAGGAAGGAAAGGCAAAGAAATAAAAATAATTTCATGTTCCTTTAAGGTCAGGATTAAAATTTTAAAAATGAAGTCTTAAATGCAGCACATTGATTAATATATTCCTGTTACTGGTTTAAATTGTCATAAATTAAAGAATATATAGATATAAATATGCATATGTGATACTCTTATATAAAATGAGACAAAATTGGAAGAATAATGTACAAGTCACTTGTCAGTATAGTGTTTGTGCAATATGGTGTAAAGGATTTTCACAATATTGTGAAAATAGGTAAAGTTTCAAAGAAGACATCCATTACAGTATGTAATAAAAAAAATAAGACATCTATTTACCCTTTAAGTAATTATAGGGTATATGTATTATATGAGAAGAAAACAATCTATTTTCCGTTTGATTTTCCTCATATTGCAGTACATGGTGAAAATTGAAATTGGGAAAGTGTAAGATAAAATGGAAAAAATGCAGATCAAGAAACTCTTCATGGGGGAAACAACCTTTATCAGGCAAATATAAACAAACAAAAAACACTGATATTATATCACCATAAAGTACAATGTATAATATTGGCAAGCATGTAATACTGACAGAGCTGTGGCCCTTATATTACTTCTGTATCTTTCTGTTGTTGGGTAACAAATGTGTTTATACCTACAGGAAACCTCCCAATGAAAGGACCTTTGATAGGGAGTTACAGCTGGCCCTAGAAATTTCCATACATGAGTCCCAGGATTCAACAGGAGGGGTTGATGAGCCCCCTCCACCCACTATTGAAGCAAGTGAGCCTTTCAGTATAACAGCCAATATGGAGGCAATGGAGGAGCTAAACAAGCTCAAAGTGGAGGCCACACCCCCTGTCTTACAGCCAATAACAACAGGTATAGTCATAACCCTGTCTTACAGCCAATCACAGCAAGTATAGTCATAACCCTGCCTTACAGCCAATTACAGCAGGTATGGTCACATGCCATCTTACAGCCAATCACAGCAGGAATAGTCATTACCCTGTCTTACAGCCACTCACAGCAGGTATAGTCACATGCCCTGTCTTACAGCCAATCACAGCAAGTATAGTCACATGCCCTGTCTTATAGCCAACCACAGCAAGTATAGTCATAACCCTGTCTTACAGCCAATTACAGCAGGTATGGTCACATGCCATCTTACAGCCAATCACAGCAGGAATAGTCATTACCCTGTCTTACAGCCAATTACAGCAGGTATAGTCACAACCCTGTCTTACAGCCAATTACAGCAAGTATAGTCACATGCCCTGTCTTATAGCCAATCACAGCAAGTATAGTCATAACCCTGTCTTACAGCCAATCACACCAAGTATAGTTACACACCTTGTCTTACAGCCACTCACAGCAGGTATAGTCACATGCCCTGTCTTACAGCCAATTACAGCAGGTATAGTCATAACCCTGTCTTACAGCTAATCACAGCAAGTTAAGTCATAACCCTGTGTTACAGCCAAGTACAGCAGGTATAGTTACACATCCCATTTTACAACAAATTACAGCAGGTATAATCACACACCATCTTACAGCCAATTACAACAGGTATAGTCACCCCCTGTCTTACAACCAATCACAGCAGTTATAGTCACACCCACTGCCTTACAGCTAATTACAGCAGGTACAGCTACACACCCCATTTTACAGCCAATTACAGCAGGTATTTTCACACTCCTGTCTTACAGCCAATCACAACATGAATAGTCTTAACCCCTGTCTTACATCAATTTTATGGACAACTCGTATATATTTTACACCTTTGTGTGCATATGCTTCACTGGTCATTTGTCTGATGAGAGTGACAGTACATACAGTGTAACGTACTAGTCATCTAAACGTTACAGAAAATGTTATTGGTGGAGTAAAAAGAACTTCTCATAAAACATTGTTACCTTTTCCTTTATGACAGATTTACTGTCCTTGACAACATGTGTAATCTTTCTGACATTGTGAACTCCCTTTAACAACACGTGTACTCTCCCTTTAACAACATGTGTATACTCTTTAACAACATGTGTACTCTCCCTTAAACAGCATGTGTACTCTCTCTTTAACAACATGTGTACTCTCCCTTTAACAACATGTGTACTCTCTCTTTAACAACATGTGTACTCCCTGTAACAACATGTGCACTCTCTCTTTAACAACATGTGTCCTCTCCCTTTAACAACATGTGTACTCTCCCTTTAATAACATGTGTACTCTCCCTTTAACAACATGTGCACTCTCCCTTTAAGAACATGTGTACTCTCTTTAACAACATGTGTACTCTCTCTTTAACAACATGTGTACTCTCCCTTTAACAACATGTGTACTCTCCCTTTAACAACATGTGTACTCTCCCTTTAACAACATGTGTACTCTCCCTTTAACAACATGTGTACTCTCCCTTTAACAACATGTGTACTCTCCCTTTAACAACATGTGTACTCTCCCTTTAACAACATGTGTACTCTCCCTTTAACAACATGTGTACTCTCCCTTTAACAACATGTGTACTCTCCCTTTAACAACATGTGTACTCTCCCTTTAACAACATGTGTACTCTCTCTTTAACAACATGTGTACTCTCTCTTTAACAACATGTGTACTCTCCCTTTAACAACATGTGTACTCTCCCATTAACAACACGTTTACTCTCCCTTTAACAACATGTGTGCTTTCCCTTTAACAACATGTGTACTCCCTTTAACATAATGTGTACTCTCCCTTTAACAACATGTTTACTCTCCCTTTGACAACATGTGTACTCTCCCATTAACAACATGTGTCCTCTCCCTTTAACAACACGTTTACTCTCCCTTTAACAACACGTGTACTCTCCCTTTAACAACACGTGTACTCTCCCTTTGACAACATGTGTACTCTCCCATTAACAACATGTGTCCTCTCCCTTTAACAACACGTTTACTCTCCCTTTAACAACACGTGTACTCTCCCTTTAACAACATGTGTAATCTCCTTTTAACAACACGTTTACTCTCCGTTTAACAACATGTGTACTCTCCCTTTAACAACATATACAACATGTGTACTCCCTTTAACAACATGTGTACTCTCCCTTGAACAGCATGTGTACTTTCTCTTTAACAACATGTGTACTCTCCCTTTAATAACATGTGTACTCTCCCTTAAACAGCATGTGTACTCCCTGTAACAACACATGTACTCTCCCTTTAACAACATGTGTACTCTCCCTTTAAGAACATGTGTACTCTCTTTAACAACATGTGTACTCTCTCTTTAACAACATGTGTACTCTCCCTTTAACAACACGTGCACTCTCCCTTTAACAACATGTGTACTCCCTTTAACAACATGTGTACTCTCCCTTTAATAACATGTGTACTCTCCCTTAAACAGCATGTGTACTTTCTCTTTAACAACATGTGTACTCTCCCTTTAACAACATGTGTACTCCCTTTAACAACATGTGTACTCTCCCTTAAACAGCATGTGTACTTTCTCTTTAACAACATGTGTACTCTCCCTTTAATAACATGTGTACTCTCCCTTTAACAACATGTGTACTCTCCCTTTCATGTGTACTCTCCCTTAAACAGCATGTGTACTCCCTGTAGCAACATGTGTACTCTCGCTTTAATAACATGTGTACTCTCCCTTTAACAACATGTGTACTCCCTTTAACAACATGTGTACTCTCCCTTGAACAGCATGTGTACTTTCTCTTTAACAACATGTGTACTCTCCCTTTAACAACATGTGTGCTCTCCCTTTAACAACATGTGTACTCTCCCTTTAATAACATGTGTACTCTCCCTTTAACAACATGTGTACTCCCCCTTTAACAACATGTGTACTCCCTTTAACATCATGTGTACTCTCCCTTTAACAACACGTGCACTCTCCTTTTAACAACATGTGTACTCCCTTTAACAACATGTGTACTCTCCCTCTAACAACATGTGTACACCCCCTTTAGCAACATGTGTACGCCCTTTAACATCATGTGTACTCTCCATTTAACAACATGTGTACTCTCCCTTTAACAACATGTGTACTCTCCCTTTAACAACATGTGAACTCTCCCTTTAACAACATGTGTACTCTCCCTTTAACAACACGTGTACTCACCCTTTAACAACACGTGTACTCTCCCTTTAACAACATGTGTACTCTCCCATTAACAACATGTGTGCTCTCCCTTTAACAACATGTGTACTCTCCCTTCAACAACATGTGTACTCTCCCTTTAACAACATGTGAACTCTCCCTTTAACAACATGTGTACTCTCCCATTAACAACATGTGTCCTCTCCCTTTAACAACACGTTTACTCTCTCTTTAACAACACGTGTACTCTCCCTTTAACAACATGTGTAATCTCCCTTTAACAACACGTTTACTCTCCGTTTAACAACATGTGTACTCTCCCTTTAACAACACGTGTACTCTCCCTTTAACAACATGTGTACTCTCCCTTTAACTACATGTGTGCTCTCCCTTTAACAACATGTGTACTCTCCCTTTAACAACATGTATACTCTCCCTTTAACAACACGTTAACTCTCCGTTTAACAACACGTGTACTCTCCCTTTAACAACATGTGTACTCTCCCTTTAACAACACGTGTACTCTCCCTTTAACAACACGTGTACTCTCCCTTTAACAACATGTGTACTCTCCCTCTAACAACACGTGTGCTCTCCCTTTAACAACATGTGTACTCTCCCTTTAACAACATGTGTACTCTCCCTTTAACAACATGTGTACTCTCTCTTTAACAACACATGTTATCTCCCTTTAACAACATGTGTACTCTCTTTAACAACATGTGTACTCTCCCTTTAACAACATGTGTACTCTCCCTCTAACAACACGTGTACTCTCCCTTTTACAACATGTGTACTCTCCCTTTAACAACATGTGTGCTCTCCCTTGAACAACATGTGTACTCTCCCTTTAACAATATGTGTGCTCTCCCTTTAACAACATGTGTACTCTCCCTTTAACAATATGTGTGCTCTCCCTTTAACAACAAGTGTGCTCTCCCTTTAACGACATGTGTCCTCTCCCTTTAACAACAAGTGTGCTCTCCCTTTAACACCATGTGTGCTCTCCCTTTAACAACATCACGTGCACTCTCCCTTTAACAACGTGTACTCTCCCTTTTACAACATGTGCACTCTCCCTTTAACAACGTGTACTCTCCCTTTAATAACATTTGTACTCTCCCTTTAACTACATGTGTGCTCTCCCTTTAACAGCATGTGTACTCTCCCTTTAACAACATGTGTACTCTCCCTTTAACAACATGTGTACTCCCCTTTAACAACACTTGTACTCCCTTTAACAACATGTGTCCTCTCCCTTTAACAACATGTGTACTCTCTCTTTAACAATATGTGTACTCTCACTTTAACAACATGTGTACTCTCCCTTTAACAACATGTGTGCTCTCCCATTAACAACATGTGTACTCTCCCTTTAACAACATGGGTACTCTCCCTTTAACAACATGTGTCCTCTCCCTTTAACAACACGTTTACTCTCCCTTTAACAACATGTGTACTCCCCTTTAACAACACTTGTACTCCCGTTAACAACATGTGTCCTCTCCCTTTAACAACATGTGTACTCCCCCTTTAACAACATGTGTACTCTCCCTTTAACAACACGTTTACTCTCCCTTTAACAACATGTGTACTCCCTTTAACAACACGTGTACTCTCCATGTTTTTATTATTTGATGTCAACATGCACATGTTTAATCTCCTTGAAACTGTTTGATATATGTTGTTGTAGATCAACCAGAGGTGGTTGTGTTAGAGGAAGAGGAGCATGAGAGAGTGACTACAGCTGAATCAGAAACACCCAAAGGTGAGTGTATTCCCTCTCATATCTCACCTTATCTAACATGGTACTGTGGAACTTTTAACGATAGCTACATGTCTCAAGTGACTCCGAGGCAAGTGTAGTTTATTACTCAGCAATGTTTTGGTGATCGTCAGTACTACAACAAAGGTATATACCTCCTATCATGTTAAAATTTCATATCATACATCACTTCACAATGCTTTACTCTTTTTCTACCACTTTTTACCTGAATATTTGGTAAAGAACTGTGCAAATGCATCACTAAACATATTAAAATTTGCAGATAACATACACATAAATCAAGATCATATTTGAATAGAGAAAAAATTACGGTATATTTCAGATTTTAAGAAACATGCAAGCTTATGCATTAACTCTTGTCATAAGACGGTGACAAATGCTGATAGAAAGATGAACATGTAGTCTGTTGGACAAGTTTCCGACGGGTTATACATCGTAATGTTGTTATGTAACATGATTTGATTGTGAGATCCTAATTGTATTGTTCTCTAAGAGCATGTTTCCCAACACGAGTGTTATTTATGGGACATATGTATCTTATATACATAGAGGTATGGAAAATGCAGTGTAACACACATCTCATTTTTTTTTTTTATGTAACATGTAATTTTACCCATTCTGATGATACAAGGAACAGTACTATGATGTTATACATTCACAGATATGGTATTATAAGATTGTTGGATTTTTTTTAATTTTTGTTTTATGAAGTCATATGTTAAAAGTACATGTAATGGCATAATTGGTTGGTATTTTCTTTGACTTTTTCTGTCAGAATCTTATAAAAGAGACTAAAGCTCAATATATAAAAATTATACAAAGTGTAATTATGAAAATCATATGGGAGGGAGCATACCGCGTAATTATCTCTCGCTCAACAAGTTGACGGGGATATAGAAATGGGGTCCGTCCGTGCATTTGTCCATGCTTCCGTCCGTGCGTATGTCCGTCTATGCATCTGGTTATTGGTTAAGAAGAAATGCTCTCACTATATATTTCCTACTTCAAGTGCTATGTTGATTATACTTGCATCAATTGCGTATGTGGGGTTGCTCTACTGAATGCATATTGCGGATGCTGATTTTGACCTATATTTATGCTTTTAATGACTTTTGCACTGCGAGCAGGGGATATAGATGACAGCCTCTTCTTGTTGAAACTTATATTTACTGACCATGATATGGAGGTTCTTGATTTCTATCTTAGATTGGCAACACCATAGAATATGGCCACTGTACATGTACATGTCAATTTCTCACATCATAAGGCAATAGACTTAGAATCTCTGGAAAAAATATTTAAATGGAAATAAATTTAAATTTGAAATTATAAAAGAATTATTGTTAAAAAAAAAATTGCACCTGATATTTTTGTAATTTGAATTTTTCCTACCCCACTAGGCCAAGTTTTTGATGACAGCATTGAGGTGATCAGCTCAGTACCTGAAGTGGAGCCCAAGACCAAGCGTAGGGCTACAGCCAAAAAGCCTGTGGTGGACAGCGATAGTGGTGTGTGATGATTTATATTCTGATTCTTCGTGAAATTTAAATTAGTAATGGCTATCAAACCTCCTTATCAAGCAAATTTGATGTGTTACATATATATGGCACCAATTGAAAAAAACGCTGTTCAAATTACCCTTCGTCTGTAGACGGTCATTCATCTGTCTTCCATGCATGTCTGTCCTTTAACAATTCTTTTTATTGCTATTTTTCTAGAATTCTTGAAGATCTTTAAACTTTTTATATAAATGTTGTGCATGTTTCATTTTTAGGCTAAAAGGAAAAACAAGATGGCTGTTATTCAGCTCCTTGGATTTTGACAATTTAGGTCTATAACTGTTATTTTTCAAAAGTTGCTCTACATATCTTATATCACACAAAGGTTCCCCTTGGTTTGTGGTTTCCATGTTTAATTAAGAGGCTGATTTCAGGCAGCCATGTTATGCTTTAATAATTCAAGTGTTTTATCTGTCTCCAATTTTATATGTAGATTTCCTTTGATCTGTAGCTTTGGATGTTTCATTCATTTGAAACTGATCAGGCAACCATTTTGAATTTTGACATTTGTTATTGCTGTTTCTCAAGAAGGACTTGATAGGTCTTTCTAAAATTTCATCAGTAGATTTCCTTTGAATAACTAAGTACTTACTGTTTCTTAGTTATGCACATTTTATTTTTAGCTTCAAGTTGCTTTATCTGAAGAAAAATATGGCTGCCAGAACATAGAAATCTCACTTTATCTTTACAGTATATGATTAACAAATTACTATTTTAGTTATAAGTTGGTCAAACCATGTCTTTACTTTGAAATGAAATTGTCAAACCCAGCTGTGTGAAGTTTAAATAAAGATGCATTTTACTGCTGACAAGAGAACCTGTTAAATAGAGAAAAGAAGAGAAAAAATTGAACTTACATAGAACTATTGAAGATAAGACAAGTAGTAAGCATAAAGAAAGTCTACCAGGGATATGTTTATAGTTCTTGATGTACGATTTTTTCAGTGTGTTTTTTAATTTTTCAGAAAGTGCATTTGATCCAGATGATGATGATAAGGATTTGAGCGATGAGAGTGATGAGGATTACGAGGAGGACAATGACAGTGATTTTGAAGGCTTTGGTAAAAAGAAAAAAGGGAAAGGAAAGAGTCAAAAACCAACAGCAAAGAAACAAACAACTCCAAAGTCCACATCTACAGCCAAATCTAAAACCAAAGGTAAGGAATTCAAAATGATGTTAAGGTCATTTAACCTAAAACAGAGAACTATTAAGTCCACATCTACAGCGAAATATAAAACCAAAGGTAAGGAATTCAAAATGATGTTAAGGTCATTTAACCTAAAACAGAGAACTATCAAGTCCACATCTACAGCCAAATCTAAAACCAAAGGTAAGGAATTCAAAATGATGTTAAGGTCATTTAACCTAAAACAGAGAACTATCAAGTCCACATCTACAGCCAAATCTAAAACCAAAGGTAAGGAATTCAAAATGATGTTAAGGTCAGTTAACCTAAAACAGAGAACTATCAAGTCCACATCTACAGCCAAATCTAAAACCAAAGGTAAGGAATTCAAAATGATGTTAAGGTCAGTTAACCTAAAACAGAGAACTATCAAGTCCACATCTACAGCCAAATCTAAAACCAAAGGTAAGGAATTCAAAATGATGTTAAGGTCAGTTAACCTAAAACAGAGAACTATCAAGTCCACATCTACAGCCAAATCTAAAACCAAAGGTAAGGAATTCAAAATGATGTTAAGGTCAGTTAACCTAAAACAGAGAACTATCAAGTCCACATCTACAGCCAAATCTAAAACCAAAGGTAAGGAATTCAAAATGGTGTTAAGGTCAGTTAACCTATAACAGAGAACTATCAAGTCCACATCTACAGCGAAATATAAAACCAAAGGTAAGGAATTCAAAATGATGTTAAGGTCAGTTAACCTAAAACAGAGAACTATCAAGTCCACATCTACAGCCAAATCTAAAACCAAAGGTAAGGAATTCAAAATGATGTTAAGGTCAGTTAACCTAAAACAGAGAACTATCAAGTCCACATCTACAGCCAAATCTAAAACCAAAGGTAAGGAATTCAAAATGATGTTAAGGTCAGTTAACCTAAAACAGAGAACTATCAAGTCCACATCTACAGCCAAATCTAAAACCAAAGGTAAGGAATTCAAAATGATGTTAAGGTCAGTTAACCTAAAACAGAGAACTATCAAGTCCACATCTACAGCCAAATCTAAAACCAAAGGTAAGGAATTCAAAATGATGTTAAGGTCAGTTAACCTAAAACAGAGAACTATCAAGTCCACATCTACAGCCAAATCTAAAACCAAAGTTCAGTTATTTATTTTATATATATATGCGATAAATAGTTTTAAATGTCCATGTGATGGTAAAAATATAAATTTTTAATAAACAAAACACGAAGACGAGTATAATCGGCTAACACTTTCGCCCATCTTGGAGCTCTCCAGGCGATTTTTCTATATTTACTTCCTTCACATGGACATTTAATCCTTTTTTATTATATTATATATATATAATTTATGCCACCCACTATATTTTAAATGTGCCTACAATTTCTATTGAATAAGGCCAAAGAAGAATTGCCATGTCAAGTTTTCCCGCAAAATGTAATAATTTTGAGTTCAGATATTAAACATCTTGTATTTGAAGATAATGAATTTATTGTGATTTCATTTTCTTTTCTGTGAATTATGACAGTAAACAAATATGAGTGTTTGAGAAGAATTGTCATCTCGCTGAGAAAAAAAGTTTGCCAGAGACTTGCTACAGTTCTCAACTTACATGACTGTGTTTTTGGTAGTAACTACTATTTAAGCTAAATTATCACGCAAAAAGATGTGCTGAAATGATGGTGTTTCCTGCAGTGGTCCAACAGATGGGATCACATGTATCGTTGTGTTTGATTTATGATGGATAAGAAACTAAACTGTTAATTGTGGTAAATGTTCCATTACAGCAGCCCCTGTTTCCAAATCTGTTGCCCCCAGAAGTAAAGTGACTGCCATTAGGAAGGCCGTGTCTCCGTCCGTTGGTCAGACAATGTCCAGTCCAGTTGGTCGAGGTTTGGGTGGAGGCACACCTAAGTGGACACCACCAGGTTGGTGTATATTTATTTATTGTGTCTACTCTGTATGAATTATCTCCCCTTCTATCTTTTAACTCTATGATATCTTTGAATTATCTCCCCTGGTTTGTGTTACAGAAACCACATGCAGATTATAACTGTGGGAGAGACATTAAAAACAAATTTACAGAACCATTATATATGATGTTTACTCAGCAGAACTACTGTACCATTCACTGATCATGTGTACAAAGTGTGCTGCCTGATTACACTTCATGATCCCAGGTTCTACGCTTTGTTATCGTTTTACATGTACAGAGTGTCACTGCTTTGGAACGTCACCACTTTCTCTTTAGAGCAAACATTTGTGATATCATCACTGTAACATGAATAACAATTTTTGGTTGGTTCATTTGCCATGAAATTGACTGAACAAGTAATTTGTGTCTGTCAATCACAAATTAAATGTTTGATACCTGTCCTGTCCCAATTCACTGTCATCGTTCTTGCAACTTTATTTTGTATGGATTTTTATCAAACTTTATACAAAGGTAGAGTAAAAACTTATACAAGAATGAGCATATGAGTTCATATAATTAAGTTCCAAGGTCACCATTATGATTTATAGATTTTTTTCAAACAATGACACAAAGGGCCGGTTTCCAAAACGGCCCCTTCTCTGATTCAAATTTCCTGTTGGTGGTGCATTGCCCATGCCGTTGTGGTCACAAATCTATAAAGTATAAAGATTTAGGTCACTTGGTTTGTTTTTTATGGCTCCTCAAAGTTGTACCTTTCAGAAGCTGTCTAAGTGTTGATAAAATGTGCATGTTATGTAAAATATTAATGAAAATCTAATCAAATGATGGTCACCGTAAAGAATACATTCATGGCATGATTGTGACAAAAAATCATGTTTCCATCGCGCCATTTGGCTGTTTTATGGAAGAAACAATCTCAAAAATGCCATTTTCGATGATAACATTTTAGACACAAAAACTGTGTTTTTTAGAGAATACACCCTTTTATGGGCGTTGGATGCAAACCAATTTTTATCCTATTAAACAGTACGTAATATGCTATTGATGAGAGGAAAAATCATCAAAATGTAAGTGGTGGAACATTTTCAAATGTTGGGTTGAATTAGCCTATGGTTGAATTGCCGATTTTCGACTTTCTTTAGATAATTAACAAAAAAACGAGAGTATTTGCTCGGTATGTTGAGAATATGTACACAGATATGAAAAAAAGTGAGAGAAACACTTTTTCATAAAAAAAATCCAAGATGGCTACTTCACAAGTCCCCGTGGTTGAAGACATTGGCTGACAAATAGACAGAACAACAAACAAAACGTGTTCCTTATGATTTTGGTTGGTTTTCGCATTTACGGGAGTGTTCATAGCTACGGGCGATTGTATAATACCTATATTTATAAGTTTGGTTAGTCACATGGTAACGGGGATCTTTCATATCGAGCCCCAAACATACTTTCGACATATGCACTCCGTTGCCGCATGGAAAACTATTTCAAGTTTTGTCGGAATTTCTTTACCTGTGGTTGTAATGGTCGAGGGTTTTCCAGCGTCCTGTAATACCCAAGGTAGTACAAGATACTGGAGATGTGCGCACACATTCCCATCGTTCTCTCTCCAACTGGGCACTGGCAGTAGTAGTCCTTTATTGGGGCCTCAACATCGGGTGAAACGGTGAACCGTATCCAAACGTTATATTTCGTTTGGCTTTTGTGTCGAGAATGTATTTGACATCGGAGAAGGTCTGGGGAGTGCTGGTAAAGCCACACCTCATAGTCTCCGTCATCACTTAAATGTTCGGCGATGTAACCAGGAGCCAGAGATATCTGATACGTTCCACACGTAATGGTTCTCAAGTAATCAAGATCGAGACGGGGAAACAGTACGGAAGATGCATCCATCTTGACAAACTCGGACCTTGCCCGTCTAGATAGATCCGGATCTGTCTTGACTCTCTGAGCTAAACCATTCGGTGTTGTCAAACGGTCCTTCATACGTTCAGCCATTAGCCTATCTTTGGCATCTCTCTCTGGAGATCTCTGGTAGATCGGTCCTCTAATACCATTCAGACAGGCTGTGACGGTTCGAAGCAAAGCCTCGATGACATTGATAAAGCTGTTAGACACCAATTGCGTTCGGAAGAACGTCCAGTGTTTCAGACGACCATGATAGGATTCCACAATCCACCTCGATTTGGTGATAGTTCTGTCAAGATTTGCTTGGACGTCAGAATGTTGACTTTGACCGGGTTTCAGGTATGACGGCATGCTAGCATTGAGGCCAGAGGCTTCGAGAACTGGTAGGACATCTCTAAAACCTCGGTCAACGACAACGTTGTCGTCTGGTTGTAGCCAAGTAACTAGCTTGTCCATGACTTTTTTTGTAATTGTAGCATCATTTTCGCTGCCAGTGAATGGTCCTACTGTGTCCAGAATGTAGCCATCTGGTAAGGCGATGCTCATGAATTTGAGATAGTTTCTCTTCTTCTGGCCACAGTAGGACATTCTCTGGAGCTTGTGGTCGGAGCTTTTCTGGATATAAATATAGGTGCCATCTAATATGGCAGTGGCTTTATCTCCAAAAAATGCTTCTGAAAAGACAGTATTGTGCCCGAGCAACTGTTCTCTTGTCAAGTGATCCGGACCTAGAAATTGTGGGACTATCGATGTGTCTAATGCCTGTACTATGGAGTGGAAAGTTTTGGACACACTTGACTTGGAAATTCCAAAAAGAGAAGAACACTGACTCCAGGAAATGTCGGTTTTCAGTTTTACCCAGAACAGTAATAGAGCATCGTGTGTAGTCTTGGTATATATACCAGATGAAAGATATGGGGAACAGTGCGAGTGGATTTCGAGGAACTGATCTTTGGACCAACCTGTCCAGGCCATGCATGCCGAGTCATCAAGAGAAGAAAAGCTTATTGTAAACGCAGACTGGTTCTGTGAAAGGACGTGCGACACCTCTAGGAGGTCATTAATGATTTCGGACGATTTTGATGGTAACTGAGATTCCAAGGAACCTCTACCATCAAGGACAACCTCTGTAGACGGATCTAAGTCGTTACCAATAAGGTGAATGGAGCAGACGCGGGATGAGGTGGGACACCACAGTTTGTGTGAATAGATCAGGTGATGTCTTGCACGTTTTGGTAAGACTGATGATTTTGTTCCATTTCTTGCAAAGGTAACAAGACAGAGACAGCATTTTTTGTGTGAAGATGATCCATTCAAAAGATCATGAAGGGTCAGCAACGGCAGGATATGGGACGGGGAGTCGTCTTCTTCCTCTATTTCCTGGTTCTGCTCGGGTTCAGGTTCAGGCTGATTTTTGTTCCGAAGATACTTCATGTAGCACTTCTGGCAAATAAGTGCTTGTTCCTTTGCTGACATCAATCCTTGTTGCACCAGCGTATCTAGGAGCCATTTATATTGTGGACTATTTACATTGCGTGCACTTCTGTTCTTATTGCCACTACGTTTCTTGAAGTATACTTGACACCCTTCTCCAACACATTTACCCTCCATCTTGAAACAATAACGATTGGTTTATGAAGCGTCGATAAAGTAACAAAATAGCAAGCCACCGATGATTGCTGTAAACAGCTAATACTTAGTAGTTTGGTACAATTATGCGAAAATGTGTGATAAATAACGAACAACTAATTACACAAAATAACAAGACAATATAATAAATCACATTCAATACCTCCAAGAAGCGCAGAATTGATTGATTACTTAGAACAAAATAAAGTATTTCATATGGATAATCTATCTATTCGATGTGGCGTGGTCGGCAGGCACAAAGAAAGTGAGACAAGTCAGGGTCCCAACCCTGACAGAGCCACAACGCTTTGGAGATGGGACAATAAAACAAGGAAAGTGAGACAAGAATAGCTAGCGTCGAGTCAATGATTCCGTAAACGTATAGACAAAGACAAGAAGATACGGATAAATGTACAAGGCCACACGATCAGAAAATTCAGAAGAGGACAACTTGAGATAGAACAGTATTCATGTATCAGGGTGTCCTCAGTGTAAATCTTTATATCGATACTGTTTATTTAGTCGTTACACATCATAAAACTGTCATGAAAATATCCGCTCTGATATTCAATATAAAAGTTTGTATATAATAAGCTATATAATAGGGTTTCAGACAAGGTTGTTACTCATTTCCCCTTTTCTTTCAATTTACAACCACATTCAGGCGGCGATATGAGAACGTTCCACCACATGGAATTAGCTGATTTTTGGTACACATATGAAACAAGTAAAGCTCTATCCGATTTGTTGATGGAAATTTGCATCCAAAACTATATAATGGGAGAAAATTGCAATTTTATGGCATTTTTCTTCATAATTGTGTCTCTGCAAGTGCATTTTCATCCGAGATTTTTTTTTTTATGTTTTATGAATAAACACGATGTTTTGGAAATATTTATCAAAAGAAATTTATACTATGTTGCGAATTACAATTTCGAGATAACCTTCTTTTATTTACGAACTTATGTCTTTGATGCTGAAATTGACAACTTTATAAAAATACATTTTCACTGAAATTATGAAATCTGGGTGTCCGAAAGGTGTAAAATTATTCTTCGGAAAAGAAAAAAACAGTAGTTGAGCTAGATAAGAAATTATACGGGGGCAGGCTCCTATGGAGAATTAACATTACTGGAAACAGGCCCTTTGCATTTCAGTGGTGGCTAACATGTCAAACAGACATTTACTTTGCAAATTTTTTTATTGGAACATCATTGCTATCTTGATGAAACTTTAGGTATGCATGCATCACCCACAGGAGGTGTGCAGTGCACTGAAATTAGGTCACTGTGACCTTCACCTCAAGGTCAAAGGTCAAATAAGTGCACATTTTCAGGAAATTCTTGTCCGCTCCGTAAATTCCAAACCGTTAAAGATGTCTTGATAAAGCTTTAACTATATCTGCATCACCCACAGAAGGTGTGCAGTGCAATAGAATTAGGTCTCATGCTTCAC